ATGTTCATATGAATTCCTGAAGTAAAATAGTAAAATCCTTTCACTATCCCGTTCATTAGTTGAACAGAGAACGATTATTCACGTAAAACACAAGACTGGTACGAACGAACTAATTTAGATGGACAATATCAATACATGGAAAAAATAGCATCCAATCGATACGTTAAAGGATAAACGTTAGCAAATCGACGAAACAGAGGTAGCCTCGACCTCCATGTTCTATCGTCTTCTCTGAACAGAGAAGAAATTTGTCACTTTAAATAACAAATAATGTCTTATATAGACATAATTATGTTACATAATTTCTTAGAAACTTATTATTCAACTTATTCTTAGGATAACATAAGCATATTACTAATAAATATTATTTAAACTACTGCAAAATTAAGTTTAAATCTATCAGGTTTGTGACTAACAGAAAGGTTCATTTTAATGGTAAGCACTTAACCGAGAGAAATAAATGCTTAGGCAGCATGAAACAGAGCACCGGACTTTACTGACATAAGGTGCTTTTTTTAAATTTTACTATTTCGCATTAGAAATCAGAGAAGCAGTAACGAAGGAATGGAAAAACATCTCGCCTGTGCGCCACAGTTGCTGGTTCGAATGCACCTGTGGCTTTAACTTTAATAATCCACTGATTATTCTTCCTAGCAAAGTACTGACCAAAAGTTTCGGGCGGTTTGGTTTACGTAACTGAAAAACGGGCAGTACACTAATCATTTGCAAAAAATGAGGGTAACATGGTGCTATAGGGCGATACGCTTTCCTGTATAATAAGGTTTCAGTTATAAAGACATGAAGTAATATTTACATGAATATAACATAAGCAAGCTAATGAGTTTCTTAACTTCATCAGACTGCTTTAAACATACCTTTTCTCTGAATAAGCGCGATTTCATTTGTCACATAATTATACTTTACGACCAAGCCGCACTCCTGAATGTCGAGGCCTTCTTCGGCCACATTCGTCGTCACTAACACCTTAGAGTCTCCAGTACGAAATCTTTGAAGGTTCTCGTCAGCGTCTAGTTTCCTTGTGCCTGCAACGAAGTCAGATTAGGTCAGCGTCAGATGTAACGACGTCAGATACTACAAACAAAGCGACTACCAAACTAATGCATGTTGCTTTTAAATTTTTTTAAACTATTTATAAATAGTCATACACTAA